GCCGTGTTTCCCTCCTTAGTATCTCATATATTAGGCGGGAGGTCAGGGCGAGAGCACGGTTGCTGTCATCCTTTTAAGGGAACCAGGATGAGATGCGTCGTGGGGAAGGGCAGTCTCCCATCCACATCCCATCTGTTGCGAGAGAGAATAGTACTAGTACTCCATCCACAGTATTATTCTGGAGGAATGGGAAGGTCCTAGCAAGTTTTTGCTTGCATCGGAACGCTGGAACGCCCGGCAAGGCCACCAAATCTCGGGTTTTGTTCGGGAAAACACAGATCTGATCTAATCGCACCAATCAGTGGGTGATGCCGCGGGTTTTTCCAGCACTGGGCGTTCGGCATCTGAAAGAGTAGGAGGGTGTCAATTATTTGGAGTAGGCAATCTCAAGGCAACCCGGTATTAAGATTATTGCCCATGATTTCTCAATTGATTAGGATTTTTTTTTTTCTTTTTATTTTTCTTTTAAAACAACCCCCCTCCTTCTTAATTCATTTCCGGTTGGCGCCAGCTGTGGGATCGGTGGGCGAGATCGTATGATAGTACTTTAGACTTTGCTTAGCACGACCGTAGGGTGAGAGCCTCCGGCCCACTGTTGGAGGGGTGGGATTGGTTTTTGAAGAGGCCATCCATGTTCCTAGCAGGGAGTTGTCGATGCTGAAGATGACAGAAAGTCTGCAAACAGCTCTCGAGACGCGGGAGAGAAAGACTCGTCAACATTCCCCATAGCCGACGGGATAGGTTTTCCGCGAATGAAATCCTGATTCAGTCAGTGGAAGCTGGACCGTCAAGCTGTCTGATACAAGTCTGGTTGCTGGCACACGCTTGACGGTGCAGATCGGATCGCCCCAAGATGAGACAAATCCAACATCCCTCCTTGGACCAAACGGGCGTTGTTCCCGGCGGGCCACAAACCGTTACAGGAGACACCAAACTCAAAATTCCAGCAAGCAGCATCGATATTAGCCGCCCCAGCGCCGAGTCTAACACAAAACCGAAAGAAAAATCAAAAAAATCAATATAACGAAAAAGTCACTCAGGCCAGAAAAGCAAAACCGCGGCGCTCCGGCTCGCAGACCCTCATCTGTCCGTTTTCCGGATGCGCCCAGTCCACTTGGTTCGCTAGTCCCCACGAATGACGGGCTCGCGATCCTCGATGGGCTGAGGGACTTGCTGCGAACTTGGGAGGCTGCTCCTTGCACCCTCCCCTGGACTCTGCCTCTCATCTTTTTCCCGGCTTGGAGTCAATGCTCCACTCGCGTAAGGACGGACTACGGAGGTTTCCGTACTGGCCACTAGCCAAACGATAAGCTGGTGGGTGTTGACTGTTGAGCCCTCGGGGAGTCGCAGTGGTTGCTCACCCTGGCTGGCTGGCTGGGAGAGTCTCTCCTGAACACAGGTGATGAGGTTGTTCGTCCGAGTTTGGTCAGTCCGGCCGAAACAAGTCGGCATATCGAGTGGCTCTCTCGGACGGGGGATTCTCTTTCTTGTTGCCAGGCTGGCTCTTTCCTTCATGTGCGGATCTTTCATTTTTTTGTTCCGGATTTTTATTTCTTTTTTTCTAAATTCCAAATTTTTACTATGGTAATTGATTAACCATTGGCCCCCTCCTCCTCTCTTTCCCTCCTCTAACCGGGCCCCCCTACTAATTGAGGCGGATAACCTGCCAAGTGTGCACTATATTGGGGTTGGCAGCTTTCATAGGGCCCAAAAAACCAGTCCTTATGTGCTGGCGTCTTTTCGCTTTCCGTGTATGGTGTCGTAGTTATGTGAGCCTCGCATGTTATTGCACACCTCGAGGAGTACAATCGGCAAGAGATATCTGATAGTAGGAAAGGAACAGACGCATTGTCCCGATCAAACGAAACAAGGTTAAATGCAACTGCCGTTCCGAAAAGATTGTGCTGTCCCGTGGTCGGTGGTCGCATGAGCGTCTCCTACCATGACTAACGGCTGGAGCTGGCAATGGATCGTTCCGAACACCAACGAGGATCCTCCTGCGGGGCGTCGGGTTGGAAAACCTAATCATGCTCATATTAAAAAGATTCAAAGCCGGCCAGGAGTTAATAAGGCGAGACAACCTGCCACCCACAGTAACCCTCCCAAAGACCAGATTGAGAAAGGACGCCGGGGAGTCTGACGATATCTCAATGCCGACCCGGACCAAAGTTTAAGTGCCACCTTGCTTCTCCATGGCATGATTATGCTGGAGATTGAGGACGAGGAGATGATGAATCTAGATGATCAAACTATAATGGACTCTCGGTAGCTTGATCTCAACCCGGCACCTAATGTGAACCGCGCCCGGTGGCTATCCTGCGATATACTCGGGCCAAGGCCATGACGACAGTCAATATACTGCCATGGAGGATTTATCTACCATCCAGGGGAGCGGGAATAAACTGGATGTAATCGATAGTTGCCCGATGGATGGCCGGACGCTTCGTGTCTCCGTTTGAAGTGGAGCTGGTCGAAGCTGAACCGAGGATGGAACTGAAAGTGAATGCCGAAGGGAACAGAGGGAGGAGACTTCCGTCCCGCAGTAAGAATAGCCCGATAATAGGGTGTATACTACTCTGGGATAAAGTAAACACGATCCAGAGCATCTAGACTATCTGAGATGCCAGATAGTTTCTGGCTGACCGAGTGGGTTGGGAGGGCCTCCGTTAAACCGGAACTGTTGCGCAAAGTGGACTGGCAAGCGTTGGACTAAACCAGGCTGGAATTGTGAACCAGGCTTTGTTCTCTGTGTGATCATCCTGATCTGGATCGGTCATAAGTTGCCTTTCCATTAAATATGCTCACTGTTAGGCTTGGATGGCAGTTTGGAAAGGATCCTCAGCTAGAGGCCAGATACTGTATCGTATCCTCTTCCTCCCACTGCGTCCATCTGTCTTCATTTGCGTCCTCTCTGCTCTTCTTCTTCTTCTTCTTCTTCTTCTTCTCCTTCTTCTCTCTCTCTGTCTCTCTTACTCAATCGACCCTCCTTCTCTACAGTCCCCCTCTTATTCTCCTGAACCCCCTTCTTTATTCCTTTCATTTTTTTTTATTTTCTGCCCCTTTGATTCCCACTCATTTCAGGGACCGTGATTCTCATTACTATTCAAAAATCCCCGATCCTCCCCGCTCTAAATTAATCCCAGCGTGTCCCTCCTTGAACCTGGCGTCTCCGCCCCTCTACCCTACTACTACTACTAACGTAATCAACGGTCGAACGGGCCACACGGTCAGGCGGGCCATCCTGAAATCCCATATAAAAGATGTCTTTTTGATTCTATTATATATCAACCAGTACTACTTCTATGAAGCTCTAACTTTGTAGATAGTTTATATATATAAGAATAAGTATTCCATGAATTTTTCAGATTTTTAGAATTTTTACTTTGATAATGAAACCAGATTCTTATATAATACATATAAATACAGATATTGTAATATGATAAGTCCATAAGTAAAAGTATATTCATTTTTAGAAGGTATATAGATATTATTTATATTATTTAAAATCTATATAGAAGAAATCTAATTCTTCTAGACCTGGATGGTAGAGATATATTATGTTTAAAAAGATATCTTTTGTATAGTATTACCAGATGGCCCGCCTGACCGTGTGGCCCGTCCGACCGTTGATTACGTTACTTTACTACAGTCCTTAGCACCGGCCAAAACTGACAGGGGCATTCCCACCTTGGCCTCGACTAAGCAGCAGCGCTATTTAACCACAATTTCTCCATCCTCATCCTATTCCAGTGCCCCGCGCCATCAGATTTTTTTTTTTCTTTTTTGGTGCAAATAGGCCGTCTAGCCCAGGGCCCAATTTTATTATTTTCCTTCTACTACTCGTTAGTGGCAGAAGCCGTTCGGCCAACATCAGGCCAGCTTGACCACTGGCCACCAAATTACCTTCGAGCGGCTCTTGCAGGGTGATCTAGTTGATATTACTACTACACCCCCAAGAGATCTGTAATTTGGGCGGCTGTCTTCCGGGGGCTGCTGGCTAGTTGTTTATTATTCTTGTCCTACCTGGACCCCTGGGGCACTATCAATCCGCAACAAACAGTCTGGTTTTCATGCTAGTCTAATTGTGACTCGACGACCCTGCCCTGCCACTGTCTGCCATTGCACTCTTCCGCCCCCATCTTTCTCCCTGTCCAATCTGAAACGGAGGCTGCTGCGCATCTCGGTTTTGTTGTCTGGTACACACAAATCCCAACTATCCCCTCTCAGCGAACCTGGTCTGGGGAGAAACCAACAACGTTGCAAGTTATTGAGGCTTTACCCATTCTGCCTGGGTTCCTGCGTTTTGTGGCAAACATTGGAACGTTAAAGCGATACAGTCTCCGAATGGCGAGGTCGACCCGAAATACAAGCGTGTTACGGTCATTTGCGCCATGAGTATCATCCTTTAGATGCTACCTTCGTTCTTCCCATTTACCCGCAATCAGTGCAGGGTAACTCGCAAGTGAGCCCGCTTGGTACGGACTTAGTACTGTCGTTGCAGATTATACCTCCTTTGAAAGGTCATTCTCGAGTGTGTAATCCGATTCAGCCCTTCAGCTCATCCTGATCTCTCCTCCCCGGCCGGGCAGCGATCGACCTATTTACGGAGGGGCAATCGTGCTTCTCGGACGGCGAACCCAAAAACAAGCACGTCAACCTTTAATTTTCTCTCCTTAGCACTAAAAACTATATCATTTGCTGGCCTGCTGACAGAGTGCCCTTGAATTCGAACGGCCGGAGGCATTTTGGTAGGTTGCTGCGCCTTCCTGAGAAAAAACACAATACGCTGGTGTGGTTGCTAATCCTTTTACCATCTTGGTAGGCTCGGTTTCTTCTTTTTGTCTCTCCAGAAGTACGAGGATTCATCGGTCAAAACCTACTTTTCCTTTCGTAGGGGCTCTGTCTCGCTATCACAGGACCCGAGTCGCGGATTCTGATGCCGTTCGGTGGGTTCTAGGTGCAAGCTTCGAATAACTTTGGACACTATCAAGTCACCCACAATGTCTGCCTTTCCAGCGGGCTCCTTCAGAAATATGTCACCTGCTATAGATTCCACGTCACAGCGACAGCCTGATCGTCCGGCTAATCCTTCAGTCCCGGCGTCCCACCCGTACCAACTCCCACCCCCTCGCACTTCTGCTCCCCTGCCTTTTGGGACAGCTCCGTTTCTACATCAACGTAACCAAGCAGAAGGTCGCGAGCTGGAAGAGACATCTCTAGGTCGCTCGAGGATTCCAGGCCAGCAGCAGACGGCCAACGAACAGCTTCCGCCAGTCAGCCAATTGCTGACCCCCACAGCCCATCCAAGCCGTCCATCATCTCCCTACCAGCCTCACCGATTTGGCATCTATACACCCCCGAATGGCAGCACGGCATCACCGACGCCGTTCCGACAGAGCGATCCTATACCACGACCTAGCCTACACGAAAGCCCTCGGGCTTACCCCGAGGCACTCCCGCATTCACATACCAGGAGTCTCCCACCACTAGCCCACCTCTCCACACCCGGCCTAGCACGTGAAGGTCCGCTACATCCAGTTCATACTGGATCTCCGGTACAATCCAGTCAAGCTGCATCGTATCCGTACTATGGTTTCAACTCTCCGGAGAAGGAGTATACCAGAGACTTTTCTCCCAGTGAGACTCCCGATTCTGCTGCAACAAACAACCCCTCCCAAACAGCCAATGTGCGCTCTCATGTGGTGGATGAGAGGTATGTGGAGGGTGAAGGGCTGTGTTACATATATGCAGATGGTTCGCATTGCCCCAAGATCATTGACGGAGTTCCGGTCAATGCAAATTGGGGGATCACCAAAGCCGGGAAACCGAGGAAGCGACTCGCGCAGGCCTGCTTAACCTGCAGAGAAAAGAAAATCAAATGCCAACCAAATCTCCCTAAATGCGACCAATGTCAGAAGTCTGGGAGGGAGTGCAGATTCGAGAGCGCGTAAGTCTTCGGCACTGATGCCTTGACTACCTTTGTTAAAGCGACTAACCTGTCCTGGTTTTACTCTAGTCCCCGCGGCCATCGTGCGGCCCTAAAGGCGACGCAACTTGCGAATAGATACGAACCACGAGAGAGCCTCCCCCCGGGAAGCTACGCTTATGGCGCAGCATCCCAGTCCCCGTACTCTGCGATCCGGGCTTCGGAGAGTTCGGCCTCCCTCCCGAACACCAGTTCTCAATCGCCGAGATCTGAAGTATCGATGTTGACACCCTCTGCCATGGAAGGCCCCCAAGATAGTGTAGTGGACCACGAGCAGTACCGGCTCAGAATGTCGGGCCATGGTCGCTTATCCATTGGAGCGGAGGATTCTGCTAGACGTCTAGCCGATGACATTTCGCTTGGGTCTCATGACTACTCGGACATCCTCATGGAAATGAAGGATCTGGACCCCCAAGACCCTCTTGTATCCGACTGGCATACGGATCCGTATGAGGCAGACCCGGAGGCCGCAGTTCATTACGTGGAAAGCTACTTCACCCATGTGAACGACCGCCTATATTACATGTTCCCGCGGAAACGGTTTCTTTTGTGGCTGCGGTCGTGCAATACGAAGACTTCAGAAGATACTATGCTGCTGTACTCGATGATGACGCTCGGGGCGGTATTTTCCGATCGGCCCGACAAGGTGACGGCGCTCAAGAGGTATTCACGCACGGCTCGGTATGCCGTTGAACACAGTCGACACGCACTGACCTTGCAGCTTGCTCAAAGCCGCATCATCATCGGCCTTTGGTACTACGCTATAGGCTCCCTGGTGCCAGCTTGGGACGCAATTGGGTCGGCGGTTCGGACAGTGTGCGGACTCCGGTATAATGTTGAGTCGGGTGGGGTCATCGTAGACCAAAGCCGGCCCTGTGAATATGGCTTGCATCCCCAGGCGCTGATCGAGTGTCGCAGGCGGACATTTTGGGTCGCTTACCTCATGGACGTGAGTAGCTCAGGATATCCACCGTTGTTCTCTAGGCTTGGACTGATTATCTTTCTCCTAGCGCATGACCTGTTTCTATACGCCCTCCTCGACCTTTATTTCGGCCCAGGCAGCCTATCTGAGACTTCCTTGCCGGGAGGAAGTATACGAGGCGCAGGAATATACTACCGTGCCCTATTTTCAAAGCTTCCTCAATCAAGTACCAGAATCTCCTGACAAAGATAGCGCCAGTCTGAGTGCTATGGCATTACAGGTTGAGATCTTGTCACTTTGGGGAGACGTATCTGACCACGTTTTTCGATTATCCTTGGTGCCGGCCGAGGCATACAATCAGCTCTTCGAGGAGTTCCACGTAAAGGTAGCCGGACGCGCCGATGGATGGGTCGTACGGCTCCCGGATCATCTGACCTATTCGGCTGTAAACATGGAACGAAGCATCCGAACGAAGAAAGCGGACGCGTTCATGTCAATTCATCTACTTTATCATGCAACTCTGATGGCGCTGAATAGGTATGCTCGATACCAAATCATCCGCGCGGAAATCATAGAGCGGCATATCCGCACCACGCGGACCCATGCAGTGGAGATTCTCCAGATCTCGCTCGCCCTTATGCGTTGTGCTGCAGACTATGAGCCGTCTCGCATTGTTCTGGAGCCGGGAACGGCGCGAGGAACCATTCTGAACCCGTTCCTCGGATACGTGATCGTGTCAGCGACAGATGTCCTCAGTGCAGCGGGATTGATGGCCGATTTGCCAGAGAGTGTGAATCTGATCCGCGGGGGCATGGAGGCTGTGCGAGAGCTGGCGCGCTTTTGGAGCGGTGCTACCCCCCTGGCGACGCTAATAGAAAAGCGTCTAGAAGCTATGAACGAGTGTCTGCAGCAACAGGCTGGTTCCGACCGGAAGGCGGCGTTTTTCGTGCACGGTCCATCACTGGATAGTCAAGTGCGCGCAGGCGTGCAGCAGCAGCAGCCAGATTTGGCGACGAACGAAGACTTAATGTATGGCGGCCTGCCGCGGGAGCAATTGTTCAGCGCACTGGGAGCGGGCGAAGTTCCCTTCTCAGATGAGACGATCCTTTGGATTAGAGAGAGGAGCTGATGGCTCTTCTACCCCTTGTTGGGATGTAACTTTTTGCATTATGAGCGGATATACAAAAGCTGTTGCAGTTGTGATTTAGCAGGTTATACCCGGGAGGCTTTTTGGCTTGAGTTGTTGAATACATGTTGCGGTTGCCCCGAAGCTGGGATGACTGCCTCTTACAGATGACACGAATGACGATGTTGCACATGGATTGTATATTAGAGTCGACATATTAGACGTTCCAGCAGGAGTCATGAGTTTCAAACTAAGTTAAGCACCAGTTTCAGCATTGAAAGAACTACGAGATACTAAGTAAATGACGAGTCATGGCGAGTGTCCCACTTTCGCGCTGCATGAATCAGCTCGTGCTCGCCTGCCCGAATTAGGAAGTTGCCCAATCAGTCGTAAACAGTAGTTCCTCCTAAAGTAATGCCTTATCGGCGCTATGCTCGATCTCTCCCCGCCACAACGATCGAGCAGTTATCATCTACTACAGTTAAATCCTTCTTTATTATTCACTGCTGGCCTTTTCATCCCCAAACCAGGGCCGCCAATGTGGACGGGACCTCTCAGAAAACGGAGGGGGACGGGAAGCTGAGGGAGGGGACCGCAAAAGAAGGGCGACGGAATCGCCGAAACCGCCGACTTCGATTTTCCGACGTCATTCAAAATGCGTGCCTTTCCTTTTCTTTCTTTTGCTTCCCCTTCAGCCAACACCTCGCGCATACAGACGCCCCGTCAATTCACGCTCGCTCTATCTTATCTACATGAAGGGGAGAAAAAGGGAACCTGAACCAGAATTCGTCTTGCAATATGTCAACATGATTATCTAAAAGTCAAAACCTGAACAGCTTTCCCCGCTTCAAAACTACCTACCTACCGACTAGCTTTTCGACCATCCCCCTCATATACACACGCGCGCGCGTGCGCAAAAACCATACTTAATCCGCCGTGCGGCAGCGACAGTGACAGCGATAACCTCATCAGCACCATTGAAATTCGGATAACCATGGGTTCTAATTCACCACCACCCAATGATCAGGATGAGCTCTCCTCCCCGCCCGAGGAACTCGACTACTATGCCATCCTTAATCTGCCGCGCTCTCCAGCTCCCACGGAAGCTCAGATCCGGTCCGCGTATCGCACCCTCACGCTAAGTTTTCATCCGGATAAGCAGCCGGCGGAGTTGGCGGACTCTGCGCGACGACATTTCGATCGTATTCAGGAGGCATATGATACGCTGGTGGATCCGAAGAAGAGGGCTGTGTATGATGAATTGGGTGTGCAGGGGATGAAACAGGAATGGGTGATTCTTGAAAGAATGGCCAAGGATATGAGGGTCGGGGTGAGGGCGATGTCTGGGGAGGAGTTTCGGGGGTGGTTCTTGGAGGTGATGAAGAGGAGGGAGAGAGCTGTGGTGGAGAGGATGGTTGGGTCGAGGGTGAGTTTTTCTTTCCTTCTCTTGTTGCGTCCTTTCTTCCGTTTCTTTTGTTCGTGGGGGCGGGTTGGGGTTTATGGGTAAGTCATGTGTGCTGATGGATGCAAATTGTACAGGGCTCTATTACTATTGGGTTCGATGTCTCTAATGCTGTGTCATACGATGAGGAGGAGGACGCCTTGTATATTGAAATGCCGTCTCCGAAACCCTCGAATTATGCTCTGGGGTTCTCTTTCAAGGCGCCACTGCCGCGACTGGGCTTTTTCCTGGGGAAGGAAAGCGAGGATGAGAATGAGAACGAAAACGACGAGGATCATGAGGCCAGGAAACCGTTCAGAGAGTATGGTGAGGATACGGAGTTGATGTTCAATGCGGGCATCTCGGGGGAGATAGAGCAGATGCACCAGGAAGCGAACTTTAAATTCCCGGATGGCAGGCAAGAGACTCACCTCGTATGTTGGCCGAGTTACGAAGTCCTTTGATTTGGAAGTTGC